GCGTAGAAACAACAACCCGTACATGAAAAACCATGAATGAACCGCATACAAAAGCACAAGATACTGTTAAGCAAAAGAAAAAAGATCTCATTTAGACACTTTTGAGATTCACTGTTGCTCCTGTGCGGCAAATGACCCGAATGCACACAAAAGGTAGGTTTTAACTCCCTGTAATAATTCTCTCTTGGCCCCTTTAAATTCACTAAAGTGACAGTTTTCCAGGGGTCCGGCCGGCGTATCCTCAGAGAGCATGAGAGCGCCGGTGATGCAGTGGCGCTGTGTGCTGACAGAGGGGGAACAAAGGTGACGCTGTGAGTACAAACTCTGCACAAAGACAGGAAACCTGATATTCCAGCTCTCGACACGGACTGAATCCAGAGGGAGGGAGTGTGAGTGTGTGTGTGTGTGTGTGTGTGTGTGTGTGTGTGTGCACGACATCGACTGCAGAGAACATTAAGTCCTGCAGGACAAACTCTCCACAGGAGGATACATCGAACATGTGTGTGTGTGTGTGTTGGCCCCCTAACACCTTTTTCAAAATCATTTTTTTTCCACGTCTGCACCTCAATTAATCATCCTCGACTAAATCCAGAGATCAGATCTGAGCACGAGGTGAAACAAAGAGGAACATCTAAATATATGCAAATCACTTCATCGGTTACACACACATAAGGATATTCATGATATCACCTGGAAGCATCTCCTTCTCGCCCAATCGAGCACAGAGAAATACTCTTAAGTTCCATCAACAGATCGTCCACTGTCCCGTTCACCGAACAGCGCCGCGCTTGTGACCGTGCACGGTTCGGTGCAGGGCCCCCCCGCGGGCCGCCCCTGACCCGGCATTGTTATGTGAAACCCTGCACCGCGCTCCAGTGCTCAGCTATGCCGTCACCCCCTCCAGGCATGCAGCGAACACAGGCCCCCTTCTTTTTCTCTTTTTTTTTTTTGACCGGCCTCACCGAAGCCCCGCGGAGCCGCTTAGAGCTCCGGGCCGCCTCCACGGGGGTCACACGCGTGAAACGTGCACCGTCGGTGACACACAAACGCTTGCAGGGGAAAGGCCTGTGTGCAGGCTCACAGTGGGAGGGGCTTGTCTTGGCTTCAGATGGACAGAGAGGGGGGCTGGTTAGGTTAAAAGTCACTCCCACTCAGACGTACCTAAACCGTTCCCCCTGCAGGCAGAACACAGTGTACACACACACCTGCAGAAACACATACACACACACACAATGAGCTGCTGCACACGACTCAGGTTCTCCTTTGGAAAGAGGAAGAGTTTCTGCAAATCAGAGCCATGTGTTGGGAGAAGCTGACGTGTGTCCCTGAACTTAATTTTCTGTTTTGTTTTCAGTGATGGAACGAACACTCTTTCCTCATGACACACAGATTCCCTCAGCGAGCCGACCAGCGGCCACGGAGAACAAACGACGTGGGGAAACATCGGCAGAACTCTTGTTCTCGGTTTTCCTTCACCGCCCTCCAAAACGTGACGCAGCTGCTCCACCTAATTAGGATCCATCGTGGGCTTCAACCAGACATTTAAGTTGATTTGATTTAAGTCGTTTAACAATTTAAGCTTTTTAAAAGTATTTTCTATCCTTAATTAAAGGCAATTAAATGACTTGAAACCTTAATGCAACATGTGCTGACAGCTCAGAAGCCCCCGATGAGCATTGGGGCTTCTGCTTGCATGAAGTAAGCTCTGTGTTTCCTTTCAAAGCTTTGGCTCGTCTCCAGTTGTTTCTTCCATTTGTGACTCAGCTGAAGGATGAATGTGTACACCTTCGTCCTGCTCCTCTTCCTCTGTGATATTCAGGCGTTCAGAGGTGCATATGTGACGGGGCTTTAGGGGAAGAAACCAACAAGCCTCAACCTTACACCCCAGGAAATACAGATTTAAATCTTATCCCAAGTCACTGTGGAGAAGGCAGAGACAGGTTTGTTGTAATTAAGAAAAAATGTTTTATGAGAGAAAACAATAAAAAACAAGGGAGGCACAAATCACTATAAAAACTGGGTTTTTATTAAAAAATAAATAAAAAAAGGCAAGTTGACTTAACGGCAAATGCAACACGGCAAACAAAACAACTGAGGAAAACACCAAAAAGTAAACTGAAGAAAACATAAGATTACAAAATGGAAAAACATCATCTCTCTCTCTCTAAAAAGCAAATATATTGAAAGTGTGCTTTCGCATCTTTAAGAGTGGTCTGATTCAAACATATCTAGACCAGAGATGGCTGACACATGAACAAATAAGATATTTGAGAGATCCCTTTTCGGTGAGATTAGACAAACAAGCTCACCGAACCGGCTGAGTCCTTTATTACCAAACAGCTTCAGATCAAACTTTGATTTAAAAAACATGTTTTCCCACCAAGGTTGCTCGTTCTCAACAGGCCGTGAGTCATCACCTCAATTACATCTTGGGTAGTGTCACTAATAACCAGCAGGAATCACGCGCACACACACACACACACACACACACACACACACACACACACACACACACACACAACGTGCTCTACGTGTCACAACGCATGCACATCACACGTCTCATGACTAGTGGGACGTGTGAGCTGCGTGTGCGCGTCTGACGCTCACGACCAGCGGGTCACATGGTGTCATGCACAGCCACCGCGCTGACGTCACAATGGAATCTCAGCGACGCGCTGAGGAAGAACAAGGGAAACTGCGTGCGCGCAGCCGGGTGAAGTGCGGCGCATTTCTCCGGTAAACGACGAGTGGGGCCGCGTGCACACGGAGTTCACCGTCTCTGATGGGGAAATACGTCGTGCCGACGTCACCGGCCACAACATTGCCCGACCACATCTGCCCCCCCCGCCATCACCTCTGTTCTCGCTGAGGTGCGTTCCGGGTTATTTTGGTGCACTGAAATAACCTGGGTTGGCCTCGAATAGCCCCCACCGTAACGTTCCCCCATAACCCCAATGTGGTTCCACAGAACGGCGCGCTGCGTCCTGGTGGTCTTTGGCGCCCCCTGCCGGACTACCGGAGGAGGACCACGCTCGGAGAACAATGGCACACAGGCACTAGAGAACACTGTTGTGTTTTGTTTTTTTACTCATTTAAAACACAGCTAGACATGCACATGTGTCCATGAGTGCATTGGCGCTTTCCCTCAGTGGTGGTTAAGTCTCCACGCGAGCAGCCACGGATCCTCCCCCCAAAGAAACATCTGGCCGGTGTAAAGCAAGTGTGTTTGAAACGCAGGCCAGTAAACCTCCCCTAATAACAACGCACAGTTCACCGTCAAAGGGAGCATTGCATATCCCCTTTCATCCGCGCAGGGCCTTTGAGACGGAGACGGGAGAGGGGTTTGAAGGGAGGGGAGCGGATTGGAGTCGGCTCGTTTTTGCCCCAGGGGTGTGCGCTGCTGCTGCTGCTGCTGCTCTCGTCTTTGTCTGAAGACTGATTAACAGAAAGAAGGACAGTGACTGTGAATTGTGTGTTCTGTATAAAGCTGCCATTGTCTGCAACCTGTACTGCATTTTATGTGTGAAACAGAGGGAACTCCAGATAAAAGGTGCCTTCAGATTGTTGCATTTTTATTCTCACTCAAATGTAAAAACACTATTTTTGGAGTAGAGGCCCTGCAGAGCTAAATACAATGCATGTAGGTCACACAAGTAAGATTAGTCATATGCACAAAGGCCACTTGGTGTAATGTTGTAGCTGATTGTGGTGGAATTAGCCCTCATGATTTGACATTTATTGGGGTTTACTAAATAGCATCATGTTACACAGAATGGATACAGTCATAAAAGTAATCTCACCCCAGCATTCACCGCTGCAGCTTTGTACTTAGAGGGCTGAGGAGCATGCAGGTGAGCCAGTGGGCGGGGAAGGTCGGGTCAGGTATCTGCAGGGCTCTCGAGGAAAGTGGGAACAGGTGAGTAGACGGGCGGGGGCCGTCTGAGGGCATCTTGATGGAGGGATGTGAAATGGCACCAAAGGGTCGTGTGTTCAATATATATTTTAGTCAATGCAATGTCGTTTCTCCAAATCGTCTTGATTTTACTGTAATAAAGATGTTTACCACAAGATGGCATTAATGCCAAAATCACCTCTCTTTCCGTCTATTGGCCGTCTTATAAATGCACTGTGATTATATGCTGCGGTTCCAACCAGAAACATCATAAACACAACAATGGCCTGACGAGCACTTTGCAATTAGTTTGTTTTAACAAACATTCACATTTCATTTGTACTAATATGCTCCATTACAGTACACATGTGTTAGTTGATGGGGTTTTAGTGCAGCATGTGTCAGGTGAAGTCTGTGTGAGGGGTCTGAGATGTGTGGAGAATTGGAGACCAGTTTCCACAACCCTTGTTTCCTCGCTGGCTGTGGGGGGGCTACCGAACCGCAGCCAGATGAAGCCCAATTCAAGGACCGAGAGCCTTCAAAAGAAGCTGTAAACTATAATTGTTTGTTGGCTATTTCAAATGGAGCGTTCAAATGGGGTTACAGACTTAAAAGAGGGCCACACCAACCAAAGCCTCTCAGATCTTCCGTGCACTCTCTTGGAGAGATTTATTAGTAAAGCGCTACACTTAAAAAATTCACATAACAAAGGGTCCATCTATTGTTGAACCCAGACTGCTGAAGTGACTCAATACATGGGACCTGTCAGGGTGCTGGGGAAACACATTTCGGCCACTTGGACCCGTGACTTAGTTCTTTAGCTCATGACCATTTGGATACTTTTTGTTTACGAAGCTCCCGATAAAATAAGTCCAAGGTTTAAACTGTAAATCCGCTCATATGATCGGCGTTATGGTGCATGTTACACCCGTCACATGCTCCTAAACTGTCACTTTGTTAATCTGTAACCTGGAGAATCTGTGTTAATCATTGATTTCAAACAAGCCTGGACAGAATGCTATGAAGGCAAAACAGCTGCATACTATCATCTTTCCCATTTTCCCCATATTTCATAGTTGTTCTGTCAGCGTTCACCCCCTTCTGTTCTGTGACGACGCAACTTCCCCTCGAGATCGATGAAGTTATTCACATCTTAATGGTTTGTGTGTTGCGGCCCAAAGATTTACAAGCGTTTACATCCGAGCTTCAGAGGTTTGACCCTGAAGGATTCTCCTGAAATATCACGTGGGAGCCCAAACCCACAACAATGACGGAAGAAGCTTGGTACAGAGAAAAGAAAGCGGAACGTATCCTGTTGATTGCTACTCTTCTCATATTCATAAATCATTTCACACCGTCTGAGGTAATGAGGAAGAAAAAGGACTTTGCTCCCCAGCGTTCCACGCCGTGCGCCAGTCTCGTGATGCTGCCCAAGTGTCGCCGATTGTCACAGAAGACAGGACGTCTCGCCGAGCTTCAGGTAACCATTCCACCGAGAACCTCGATTTCATGAAACATTCGTTCAGGTTTTCTAGTTACACTCTTAAGCAAATGCTTTTTTTGCATGACATCCTCACAATTGTAGTAACTTGTTCATTCGCGACGGGCTCTGCATGTTCCAACCTGCCTGTGAGACAATTCGGTGAGGAAACGTTGAGCCTCACGAGTAGATAAACGGCTCTCTTGTGCACAATCTGACATCACTGTAGAACCGAATATATCGCTGGGCTTAAAGAAGGATCAGACTCATGACATTCGGCGCCTGCTGATTCCTCACAGAGGAGATGATGTAATTGAACTCTCTGTCTCACGTGTGGCAGGTGGTAAAGCTTTTTGCTCATGGACTGGAGGAGCAGGCTGAGACGCACCCGGTCACTGAGCGCGGGCCCCTCGTTCTTTGACCGGTTCGCCAGCAAAGAGGCGGCTCCGCCGGACAAGATCATGTCTGTGTCCCAGCTGGTTGCCAGGTGACAGAGACCTCGTCTTCCTCACTCTTTATGCGACTGTGACAACCAAACACGCAGTGCGGTCCACAAAGCATCCGGATAGTGTCGGCCCGTGTGTTAGTCGGTCATGAATATGTTTTGTTTTTGTTTCAAAGGTATCAAACTACAGAGAAAGAAAGCACGTCCATTCGCGACGCCCCTGTAAATGATGGCAACGCAAAGCCCAAGCAGGTCTTAAAAGAGGTGAGCTCGGACTCAAACACAAGGTGTCCTCAGCATGGGGGGGCAAGTAATGAATACAAACGCATGTTTATCTTGTGCGTCACTGTCAGCCTGCTCCGTCGCTCCGGGAGAGTAAAGAGACTCGTCGGGGGTCTCTGATGAAGAGAAATGACACGAGGGGACGGGACAAAAGCGGTCTGACCCGCAGCAAGTCCATGGGGAGCCTTCAAAGCGGCGCTCGTTCCATCGGGGCCCTGAAGGCTCTGTTTGAGGCCCCGCAAAGCAAGACGAGCTCCTCGTCACCGGACAAGGCGGCAGATGTCATGCCAGCAGAGAAGGGAGAGGCTAAGGAGGGGAAGAGCTCTGCTGAGGAACCGAAGATCCAAATTCCTCCAGACTCCACGGCTGATGCTGCCAAAACGCATGCAAAGGGTGACGTGACTCGGAGGGTAAATACCATAAACCTCAGACACGGTTTACGGACGTGTCTGTCGCCCGGCATGTTAAAAATAGAATTAAGACGTAATAATGTGACACACACACAGATATGAATACCTAGTGGCATTGACAGTTCAATAATTCTCTCTCTAGGTGGTGAAACCGAGACGGGTGGAGAGGAGAAAAACAATAGGGGGTATTGATTTTGAAACAATCGCGGCCTCTCAGGCTGGTGAGTACCCGTCAACATTCACAAAAAGTGCTTGTGTGTTGAACCGCCAACCTGACCACGATGTATTCCGACCAATGGAGCATTGGTGAGGTCACTGAAGCAGCTCGCCATCGAGAGTCCAGGCGGACATTTGAAAATAACCCCCGACGGAAACAAATGAGTCAAAATGCAGCCATGAACTACATTTGGCAACGATAAAAGGCACCGTTCATGTAGCCGTCCTTGAGTGCGGCCCCTCAAGTCAGAGCTGTGCACGGTGTGAATGGAGATGAATGTCAGCGCGGTGACTGTGCAAGAAGCAGTGATTGACTCAACCTGGTGTGGGCATAGTAGACCACTCCACAACAAGACAGAAATAGCCCTGAATAAGTGCAGGAGGGTGAAAGGGTCGGCTGTCAGTGGGGCAGAGAGAGAGAGAGGGAGGGAGAGAGAGGCAGAGGTTCCACTAGCAGACGCGAACAAACAGGAAATCAGACCAGACGCACTCACAGAGGTTCAAAGGAAATAAGGAGACAGGCAGGTCAGAAGGAAGCTGGGAGCTGTTTATTTTCTGTGAGTAGAGATTTGTATTTTCATCGGATAATCTGAGTCTACTGAGTAGAGGGAATCCAACCCGCATGTTAAATGGATTCTGCATGCTCCTGAATACGTGTGTACTCATACACATTTACATGTATAGATAGAGAGAATAATATATTACCCATGATGGATAGTTTGTGCAGTTATGTAAATCTGTTGAGACTTTAGAGTTTGACCTAAATTGAGAAGTCAAAATCATGCAAATCCAACATAGTTCTCACTTTATACGTCGCGTGTCTGCTCGGGATTGACGGCTGGTAGTGTCTATTTACCACCTGTATTTATTCCAAACAATTGTAAGACGTGTGTGTTTACTTTGCTCTTCTACGCTTAGTCAACTGCGGCGGCAGTGACTTGGCTGTCAGCTCCGTTTAACCGTCTGTATTTGTGTCGGTGGAGTCAGGTGTCTGTGCCGCTGCACCACGAGTGGTACATTTATAACTCCACCACACGGCAGCTGTCACGTATCGGCTATGAAAGTGTTATTACGGGTGGCCCTTGAATTGCCATCTGTTTGCACACAGTTTGGTGAAATGGATCTAAACATGGAAGTCATTCATAAAACAGCCACTTGTTCAAATTCCGTTTAAATTGCATATGATGTCGGTGGTTAGAGTCAGAGGTGCCTATTTAACTGAGACATTTTACATATTAACACTGCTGTGTGTGATGTGTCTGCAGATGAAAAGAGGAAGTCAATTGCAGATTTCAAAGACAGCTCCTTCAACCCAACCAAGGAGAAACTGTGTGTCTCGGTGAAAGCTATGTCCGCTCTCTACCTGTCAAAGGTGGCCCCTCTGGACTCAACGCGCAGCCTTTCGGTACCGGTAAACATCTGCCTGCTCGCCTTACAGAGGGATACAGCGATAACCATACACACGTACCAACGATACAACTATTTCGATAAATAACAATCGAGTGCATTTATTTCCATTTATTCATCAAGTTTTGTTCTTTAAAGTTGAGACGGCGAGGGTTACGCCTAGCTTGAAGCTTTCTTAGATATGAAAGTTGCTTTCACACAGTGAGGCATGCAGCTTAATAATTAAACCCTTATATGGGAAAACCTCATAATAAAGCAGGTTTATAGCTGACGATTATCATGTTTTACACTTGCACATAATACGCAACACTGAAAGGTCTCATACAATGATACAAAATAATCCAGGAGCTTGTGTCAGGTAAACCCTACCTGAAATTGTCATTGTTTCTGTGCAGGCACAAGTGCAGTCAGCTGAATCTGGGAAAATAATCAAGCCAACGAAGGTAAGCAGAAGTTCACCCAACATGACGCATGATAGTGTGCTTTTTAATTTGCAATGTCACAATAACAACTTTTATACAACACAAGAACCAAATGCTTGCTTTTTGAGTTGCAAGAAACAGACGGCAGACGTCTTCCCCCTCAACATTTTATTCCGTCTATCATTGTGGTTGCATCTGCTGGTTGCTCTGGAGCTCGGCTAACCCACTGACGCCTGGCATGTGACGAGCACAGCGAGTGGCATGATCCGGAAGGTACCACTCTGTTTGCTGGAGGCATGTCGACACCCCCCCCCGTGCATGATTTCCCCCGGATGGCTCATTTCTGTTGCAAAAGACTCAATTATGAGAATGTTCATCTGCTCTTCTAAGATGGCCGAAGAATCCCAACCAAGGGCAGGTGATCTCCCTGGAACTCCCTCGTCCAGTCATAAGCCAGAACCAGTAGACACCTCGGGAGCACATTCCCGACCGCCCGCGCCGTCCCAGCTTTCCAAAGAAAAGCTGCGCCAACAGCGGCAGAAATGTGAGCTTAGAAGGCTGCTGAAGCACACTCACCCAGAGCTGAAGATGTCAGATGCAGCTGTGGACGAGGAGCTCGCTGAGGTTCTGAGCTCGGAGACCGGGGAGGCAGCTGGCGAAACTGGATACGAGGGAGAGGTCCTTTCAAGATGCTTGATATTTGAGAACTGTGCCCCGAGTAACAAAGTATATCCTTCCGCCCCCATGATACACAAGGTGATGGGCAAAGTGGAAAGACACGATGGCAGTAAAACATCAGCTGTTTTCGAGGAGCAGGAAGAGCGGCCACGTGATGACGGTGATGAAGGGATCGTGGAGGATGACACAAGGCTGGGGTCTAGTCCAGATCCTAAAAAAGATGGTGAGGAGGACGTGATGAGAATAGATGTTCAGGCCACCAAAAAGATATTTGAGAATCAATATGTGGACATGTCCCCCTTACGCCCAGATAATAAGTTCCAACTGTGTGACAAATATAACGTACACAACAAAAACAAAAGCAATGCGTGTACCAAAAGTCTGGATTTGACAAATCCGCCCAATAAACAGGGCCCATGTGTCCATATTGTTGGTCAAGACTGTGACCCTGAGGTTTCTACTAGGGAAACGGTCTTTGAGAATGAGCCCACAAGCCCTTTAGATCCAGAAGAACCCGAGGAAAAAATCGAAACAAGTGCAGCTCTTCTCCAAAACAACCCGTTTATCCCAACAAACATAGAAAGAGAGCATCCTTTTATGCAAACATCCAAATCACAGAGCCCAGCGGGAGACAGTGGGGCGGCTCAGGACTATCTGATAACTAATGTCAAGGACAGAACCCACTTGTTTGAATCAATGCCGTTTGACAAAATTGGACACCAGAGCAAGGACGACATTGAGACGATGGTGGAGAACATGAAGGAAACACTTAATACCCTCTACCATGGCAATTGCATACATTCAGACGGCTCAATCATTGAGGTATATGAGACAATGATAGCTAAAAAGGCCAAATTCACACTATCAGAGGGGGGGCCGGAGATCGGATATGACGAGGTGGCTGAAGGTGGTGCACAAAACTTCATACTCCAGTTGCTTCCACGTGCAAACCTGAAGGCCCACATCACCTACGTAAAGGAAGCTAGCGAAGGAAGCATGGTGGCCACAGTAGTGAGTGTGCCCGTACGTTCCACCACCAACCAAGACACAGAGTTTAAAACTGCCAATGTGGTTCAGCTCGTTGAGGACATTCTCAATCAAGATAACTCTCTGCAGAAGGGAATGGTCCTGCAGGAGGATGGGAACAGATGTCCCGAAGTCATTGTTTACTCCCTCTACAATTATTTTGATAAGGAAGATGTGAAAACATATTGTCCTCCACAAGGTGCAGAGTATGATGAACCAGAGCCGGAAAGAGGGGAAGTAAGAAACACAGAAAATAAAGAACAAAGAAAGGGGCTCGTTAAATCAACCATAAGCTGCCTTCTAGAATCTCCCAAAGATCAAACGTATCATGAATCCATACGGCCAGAAAGCACAGAAAAGGGCAATGTAAAACTCTTTAAGGGTTGTATTGAAAAAGGAGATTTGGAGTATTTGAAAACTCTACAGGCTGAGCCAACAGAAGAAGAACAAGAACTCCCTCCAAAACAAAATGTTTCTGGAGAAGTAATAGAGCTTCATCATGAACTGGGAGGTGATCACGCAGAGGAAGATTCACAGTGGGTCCCAGTGGATGTCAAGAGGCTGAGAAACATATTCTCTGGAGATCAAAGACCAACCCAACCAAAGCAAAATGCATGGGAAAGCTGTCCCAAATCCACCACCATTACCTGTGCATTCCTCCAGTCCTCCACAGAATGCATTCACCAGGAAGTAAAGAATAGCTTTAGACAGTGTGATGGCAAAACACAAGAAGTAGCACCGAAGGGATCGTATCTGCGTCTGGAGACTCAGGACGATGGGGGGGTACACCAGGCCAACCCTGTTGTGGTAGACGACAAGGACGGAATTTCTAACCTCCAAACTGCAATACATAGCCTCCAACAGGCCCCAATAGAGGCTAAATCAGATTTTAAACAAACAGAAGCGGAGTTATACCAAAACAATAAGCCACCAGGGAACAAACTCCCATCAACCTCCAAAATTACCGTAGAACATAAATCCGACAACCAACATGAGACGACGGAGGGAGACACTAATTCTGAAGAAGTAGGAACTACTGAGACACGGAGCAAAGTGGGTCAAAGAGGCACAGAAGTGGTCCAGAAACAGCCCTTTCAAGCTGCTACGGCGTCTGTACACAGTCCAGAAACACCTGCTGCACAGCAAGAGGATGAGGAGGTTGTTTTTCAGGGTAAACTTCAAGCAGCTTTGGATTCCCTGGAGAAATCCAACATCAATGTCAGCAGAGGAGATTTCAGAGCAGCGATGATTTACAGAAACACATCCAAACCTCAGAAAGAAAGATCAGAAAATGTGGCTGCAGCGTGTGTTGAAAAGCCTACTAAGGAGGAGTTTTGCCATGCGACTGAACCTAAATCAAGTCAAGCGCCACTGAGACAACAGTTCTCAGGGGAACAACTGTCTGCGGCCAATGCAGAGCCCCCAAGACAGAGTGAAAACCTAAATAAACTGGCCACCAGTGCCGTCGCTGAGAAAATCAGACGGCCCGTTGGTCCAAAGCCTGCCGTCCCACCGAAGCCGGAGCACTTGAAAGCGAAACCAAGAGACGCTCGACCAGCCAACACGAAGAATCCAGAGGAAACCCAAACTAATCCTGTGAGACCCGAGGACACGGTTCCTCAACCACTGGCGATGACATCCATGTCGCATCGGGACGAAGATAAACGAAGCTCGTTCAAAACGAACGCTGGTGCAGACTCGGGGCCCGAGGTAGCGGATCATCAAAGAAACAGACTTTTTGATGAAGCTATGCATAAATCCGAGGGAATTGAAGCCCATGGTTCAGTTGTTATCTTAGTAAGTGATAATGATAATCAGAACATTGAGCTACAGCAGGAGAGAAATGTCAAAGCAGAAGAGAAAAGCCCCCAGGAAGAAAACATGAATGAAACAGATGAAAGCCATGTAGATTTTAATGGAGCGTGTAAGAAATTTGGAGGTAAAAAGGAATTTTCGGCAAAGATTACTCCTGTAAAGCCCAAAAGAGGTAAAATTGCTCAGCTTCACAACAAAACCCCCAAAAATACGTCTGGAGAGAACTCCTTATTTCTTGGATATGTGGGTGAGGAACCTCAACACACTCTAACTGGTCCATCCGGCAATGACCCCAAAACCTTTAGACAAACCTCTGACAGCAATGAAACAAAGAAAATCATGCAGGCAAGCAAAGTTGAAATGAGGGAAAAGAAAGTGAGACCGGAGACAGAGGGCGAACGCCGCCAGCGGCTGTCGGTTCACATGGATGAAATCATGCGAGGGAACGCCACCGCCGCCATGGAGATCGCCGACAACTTGCGAAAGCAGGAGGAACTGCACAGCCTTCTCAGTAGGGTTGAAGAAATCGAACGGGACACCAGCGAGGTGGACGTCAGGTCTCTGAGGGGAATCTTTGAGAACGTTCCCGACTGGGTTGTCAGCTCTGACAACAACAAACCAACAGAGGAGAAGCAGGGAGGGCGGTTACCATTGGAGAAACACAGCCCCGAAAGCAGGTCTTCAATGGAACATGTTTTTGGAGATCTCGAGCGAGCCAGTGAGGAAATCATGACTCTAAAAGAACAGACTTTAGCCAGACTGGTGGACATAGAGGAAGCGATAAAGAAGGCTCTTTATTCGGTCTCCACCTTGAAATCAGACTCGGACATCGCCGGCTTGTCGTGCCTGTTTAAGGAGTCTCTAGGCAACCAGCAAGGAGGCCCACTCACTGGCGGCATTAGCAAGATCAGCATCGGGTCCAGCAGAATAAAACCATCGCAGACACGTGGGAGCGCCGCGGCGCCGGGGAGCACAGCTCCGCCCGTTAGCCAGGCGGCAAAGCAACGTGCAAGTCCTCCCTCCTCACCCGCCTTCATCTCCATCCAGTCGGCTGCCAGGAAGACCGATACGTCCGAGCCGTTCCCACCGGAGACCCCAATCTGCCCGCCGTGTCAGAGCAGCCCGAAAGCAGAGGAGAACTTTCGGACAACTAAAACCCTGATGTGCAACAGTCCGGCTCAAAACCGAAAAGGGGAGCCCCGAAAAGGAGGGATAAAGAAGTCCGATTCCGCCCCCAAAAGAGAGCTCAGTGTTCTCGAGGTGCAGACCGACCGTGAGGGAAAGAGTATTTTGGGCAGCAAAACCGTCCCAGAGATCTACGAGAGGAATCGTCATTTGGAAAAGGGCCTTTGTTCTTCCAAAACTTCCGCTTTTGTGCCCGGTCAGCCGGAGGCTCCAACATCCGCGGGTCAGGCAGCGGTCGGTCCGGCTTGTCACCAGATCACTGATCAGAAACCCTAAACCGCTCACGCAGTGAGCAAAGTGTTCTCATACATTGTTTAACAAGGTTCTTTTGTACATGAGTTACTTGAAAAGATTTAAAGTTGGTTATGATCGCCTGTTTGTTGATTTCTTCTTACAGTTGAGGGTTTATTCGTTGTTTAGGTTCTTTAAAACCGTTTTGTGTTTTTGGTTTACATTCTGCGTTATTGTTTGTTTGTTGATGCTTATTATACTGTTTGCTATTTTAACCAAGCGTGGTCTCATTTCTCTATTCAGTTTCAACCAGTCAGTCCTGAGATGTGTTCAGGCTGTTTGAAGGCAGTTTATCCGATGGAAAAAATTACTGCGGACAAATACATTTTTCATCAAAGTTGCTTTTTTTGTAAACAGTGCAAGAACAAATTAAGGTGAGAAATGTTTTACAGAAAAAACACCAGCAACATTGACCAAGATCAACATTGATTTCTGGTCTGTCAAAATGAATGTTTAAATGATCTCTTTGCTAAATTTGATCTTACATCCGGCCTAATAACTACAATAAACTCAACGTTTGACAAATATAATCAAAATTTATGAATGAATGATTGATTGACTTGTTGAAATATTGAGTTAGGGAAGTCAAACTATCAAAATAATTCACTATATCTATATGGCAATATCTACAGATTTGAAAAAAAACTAAAACTGCTGTCGAACTCACCTTTGACTTTGTTTACTGTGTGTTTTGCGTCTCTTTTGGAAAATATTTCGATTTTATTTAGCAGTAAAAAGGTGAACATTTATTTAAGGTTTCATTTTGAGCACTTGTTCTCAGACGAAGGTGCCAGATAACCAGACGTCAAAAGAAATTAAAGTTAAGAATACCTTTTCACGGCCGACCTTTTGACTTCAAACACAAGTATAAGTTGTACGTTGGCAAATTGCTGCATTGAAGAACTATAAACTATAACTACTGCAACAGACTTTAACAGGATGATTTACAAAATGCCAAATTGAACCGTGTGCCTGACATTGTGTTCATTTGTAGCATGCACAATTACGCACCTTTGTATGGAGAATTCTACTGCATATTTCACTACCAACAACTGTTCAGAAGAAAAGGGAATTACGACGAGGGCTTCGGACACGCTCAACACAAGAACCGGTGGCTCCTCAGGACCGTCGCTGACGTGGTGTCCAATGGGGCCGAGTCTGAGGCGTGAATACCCAGAAACAACGTGAGTACCGGCAGGCAACGGACGACCGTTCATGAACTCCGAGCCCCGTCTGTTAAAGCTGTGTTCTGTCTTCTGTCCTCAGCCGACTCGATGGGGACCGTATGAGGGCACCGTGCAACGGACATGAATGAGTGACGGTGTGTTGAAACAACCCACAAACCAACAGTGGCTTAATCATACAGTCTGTTGTGTTAAATCAATTTAGTTTGTTTTTTAGTTCAGTTGTAGCAACAAATTGTAGTAAACATTGTCAAACAACGTGTAATTCTTTGAGGTGGTTTGTAAATGAAACTGGGCAAACAGAAAATAATCACAAATATTGTGGCGTTACAAATGAGGTTTACCTCAATGCTAATGTACTTTATTCCAACAGGTACATTTCTACCCGTCATGTTGATAAAGGGGTCTGTACATTTCAAACTGAACCTGTGTACCTGACGCAACACTGTATTTCAATACAGTGACTAGATTCTGCATTAATGTACAAAGAAATGGTGAAAAAATGGAAATCATTGTGGGTGTAAATCTATTAATTTCATAACCTTCCAGTTATAAAAAAGCATTTTACAAATCATGACACTAAAATAACATTTCTCAATAAAAAAAAAAAGAAAAATGTCTTTCTTTGTACGGTATATTTCACCTGCTGCATGTTAATACATGTGTATTTTGACTCATTGCAACACAGAATAAAGGTGCATGAGGCCATTAGGTCAGCGGCACCGTTAAAGAACAGAAAGCTCACTTGACACCCATGACCCCACCCAAAGTTGCTTCATTTACACAATGTTGACTTTTGTCTAAAATTAGTAAATATTGTTCCATGTGTGCAGCTATGTGCACATAAGCAATGGCAAGGTAGAAATTCAGGCCCAAACTGCCAGAATTCAGGTTTAGTCCATAACAGGAGACCAAGTATCTTGAACCGTTCTTCCAGATAAATCCTCCATCTCTCACTAAACAAGTGTTTGAATTGAGAACATCCCTGTATTTTCATTGAAGTTTGTTTGATGCAGGTTAATTAACTTTTCTCACTACAGAAAAGGACCATATGAATTGCTCAGTCATACAAGTGACTCGCTTTACAAGCAGCGCCAAGTTATCTCATCATAGAGGCTTTCTATCTGGCACAGAAGGAGCATTATGCCGTTTCCACACTTAAAAAGGTACTCCAACCCCCTCGAAACATATCATTCCCTTGCACAATGTTCGTAACATGGACATTTAATTCTAATTAAAATATAATTCCCAGTGGGACCATGAAGAAGGCCCTCATTGATTTTAAGCCCCGGATTGATCAAATATATTCGCTGAGCCTGAGATGAAGCAACAAATGTCATCTTGCTAAATCATCTTTACCCGAACACACCAAGGCAAAGGTGCGATTTGGCGCCTACCTTTGGACTTGTGAGGAAAAGCTGTGTTGCAAAACTTTAAACAGTAAAAGCAGCAAGTAGGAGAATGCACCATGTGCAGGTGGGTCTGTGTGTACAGATGTTACATTAAACAAACAAGTTTACACACTTCATGCAATCGCGAGCAGTAGAGAAGTGCTCTGCAATGTTTGTACTGGTAGTTTCACAATAACTACGGTGGGCAAATGGTTTTTGACCCAATGTGCATAGTAGCTGGGGGGCGACAACTCGCTAATTTCATTAACAACTAAAGAAAATACACACGGTGGTTAATCGGTGTGGAGTAAAATCCTGCTGTTTGAATATTTATATATTTTACAGCACGAGACATTTATCTTGGGTAAAACTAAATTAGCTCGCACTTAGCACCTAAAAGAACATTGTGCGATGACATTGGTTAACATTGGTAATCGAAAAGAATAAGTTAGCAGTAAAAACAATCAGCATCATCTTTTACATTTTCAAACACATTAATCAAGACACCGTTAATACATTTTCTCCCGCTTGAACTCTGGAACATACACAAAGATAATGTTGCTGTTGGCTGTTTCCAAGCCAGCAGTGTGGGAGCAACATTATCCCTAATTTGGAGCTGTAAGTCCTATTAACCAACTCTCACAACAAATGATGATGAAATTGATTGACAGTTCTTCTCTAGAGTCTCACTGCGATCGAAATAGGCCCTGACAGTGTTAAAACACACGTACTGTTCAGTGCTCATCAATACAATGCAGGACAGAGAATCCAAACAAATACATGTATTGGCAAATACACATGCATTATTTAATATATAAATACAAATCCCAGATATCAAACAGTCCATAACTTTTTCAGTAGTAAAACATTTGTTAACGGATTGTAACAATAAAAAATAAAATCATGTACAAAAAGGTGAACATGGTTCAATTGCTTTGTGTTTAGGTGACAGCATTCTGATAAAACCTTATTGTTGTTGGGAGCAAGCAATTTATTTCTGATACAAAAAAAAAGAAAACACATCCGTATTGATCACATTTTTGTGCTCTTTCCGGATTCTTCCTCTTTATTGAAGGGTTGCATCTGTAGCCCATTCTCAGGTTTTCTGTAATAAATACCAAAGGATGATGATTATATGCTGCTCTTTCTTTCCCCCTCTGCTGTCAAAGAGTTCGTTGACTCACCGTATCTCAGCGTGGTCCTGCAGTTCAACGTTGAGCGTTTCAGGCAGCAGTAAACAGAAACCTCCGGCAGCAACGGGGACGATGCCGTATATCAGCATGGGGATGGTGAAGTGGTAGACGTCCAGCAGCCTGATCAGCGGAGCGAGGATTCCCGCCACGCGAGCACACGTGGAGTTCAGACCAACGCCGTTCTGCCTGCCGCCACGCACGATGCACCCGTTAGCGCCTCGTAGCATTTTAGGTTTCGTGTTCTTAACCTGCGGGACACTGCGGCTTACCTCAGGGTGGTGGGGTACAGTTCTGCAGTGTAGACATAGACTATGGAGAAACTGGCTGTGGCTGCAAACTTTCCAAGTACAGCGATGATGGTGACCATCACGGGAAGGTCTGACGGACAAATGATGAATCAGACAAAATTACATCAGCTAAATGGTATGTTCGAGAGACTGCTGTTCGTCATTCATCAAATTACCCTCCGGAATAACAAGTATCACGAGACAAGCTGCCCCTCCGAAACACAGGACACAGGATAGACACTTCTTCCTCCCGAAGTGCTGGATGAGGGGCAAGCTGCCCAGGCGGGCGGGTAATTCTGCTAAGCCAAAGACGAACTGCGTCAGGTAGATATCCAGACCAAAGCTTCCCACGTTCAGACTCAGTCCATAGTACACCAGGCTTGTTCCAAACCTTTTAACAGAATGGGAGATATCTTTAGCGTCAAAATGAATTGATCACTATATATTTAGACTATTTGGAACTTGATATCGGAGGGTGTCATGTTGGTTTCTGAACCTCACCTTTTTAGTCTTAAAAAGTCAATGGCTTGAGTTTAAAAACGATTAAGACTTTAATAATTAGCAATACAGCTACAAAGTGAAATTAAAGACGAGTGTGGGGAAATGGACCTGGGGACCTGGGGCAGAGGGCTTAGGACATTGAGCCTGGGGCGTGGGGCATGGGGCGTGGGGCAATGGACCTGGGGCGTGGGGGCTTAGGGCATTGGGCATTGGGCATGGGGCATGGGGCATGAGGCGTGGGGCAATGGACCTGGGGCGTGGGGGCTTAGGGCATTGGGCATTGGGCATGGGGCATGGGGCGTGGGGCGTGGGGCAATGGACCTGGGGTGTGGGGTTTGTGGTTTGAATGAACACTCACCACACGTAGCTCATTATGAGCGCACGTTTTCTCAGATATGATATTCTGAAGATGTCCAACATGCTTCCTCTTTTGGATGGACCTTCATTGTCCAGCTAAACAAAGCAGGAGTCCATTTAAAGCTTTAAGTTAGTGGGTTTTTTTGTTATTATCTCAGAGATTAATAATGTACGATTCGACTCACCCGGTCCAGCAGATCTTCCGGGACCTTCCGTCCGTTCACCTTAGCAGCGCGCCGGACCTCCTTCACGGCTTCCTCCTTCCTGCCCTGGGTGATGAGCCAGCGAGCCGACTCTGGAAGAATCCTAATGGACACACTGGTTTTATTTAAACGTTATTCAAGTCGAGATCTAAAACATCACATCCATGCGGTCGCAGAGGCCGCTGACCAGTAAAAAATTCCCAGGACAACGACGAGAGGGCTGAAGAGCACCAGCTGCAGGATCCTCCAGTTTGGGATCAGATAGGCGACGCCAGACAACAGCATGAGCCCGAGAGGGAAAGTAGAGTGGCAGATGATGGTGCACAAGGCAAACTTGGAGGAAGCACTCCACTCTCCACCTTTCAAAAAAATGTAAAGACAGTCGATTTGAATGTTGTTGCTGTTTGTCATCCTCTAGTCTTCCAAAAGAAATAATGAAGACAGTTCCCTCTGAGAGCAAACATTTTACATACCTATGACGAATGCATTAACAAGAATGCCTGAAATGGAGAAGCCACCTAGAAATTTGAAAGCAATATAAACATAGATGTTGGGTGAGAAACCGGCACTGACACCAAACACCAGTAAGAGGAGGAGTGAAAGCAGGACCACAAAGCGGCGACCGAACCTAGAAGAAAGAAGAAAACCGTTTCACCTTTCAATCCTTCAACTACTACCGCTGGCCGGGTGACTCAAAAGTAAAAAGCAACCTGTTCAGAGTACGTATGTAGTGGATGTGCACCTGTCAGCCATCTGCCCCAAAACCAGCGCCCCGATCAGAAGGCCGGCCATGTAGATGGACTGTGACGCAGCGACCAAACTGCTTCTGTCACACACCAGGTTGAACTGGTGAGAGGAAGATGAGAGTCCAAAACAACTGTCAGAACCCAATTTGTTACGTTTAATTACTGAAAATGGCAGTTTTTTTACAACAAGTGATGTGATCCCATGATCTCAATCGCCCCAAATCCAGGACAAAGTGTTATGTGCTTTCTGTCTGTGAATGAAAACAACCGTCCCTCACCTCTGTCACGATGCTGGAGGCCCCTTTGGGGACCAAAAAATCGGATCCATTTATACATCCAGTTGTAGTGTTAATCCCGTACGCTTTAATTGTCTCCAGGTCCAAATCCACAGGCGTGAACATCGCACAGCTTTCATACATGCTGGCCTCGTTCACGGGGAGGGTGAGATTCTTCCGGCACTCGTCCGTCAGGTTGGGCCCGAGCTTCAGGATCCAGTCGGTGTTACAGTGATGTGGGAAGCTCAGTCCCGTGAACACCTGGCCGATCACATCGAAGGCTGTGAACAGGCTGGGGATGCCCAGCACCGCCACTAAGCGCTTCTGAAACAAACCGAACTCTCCAATCTCCTTCAGGATCTGCCCGAAGTTGCTCATGCTGGCGCGTAGGTGTTCCAGGAGTGCAGCGGGGGACAGAGAGAAGTCCGACTTCAAGCCCTCTGCAGCCAACCGACCGGCAACTTGACTCTGATCCTGCGGGTTAATGTTTAAACTGACAATCACGGTGCTTTTTGTGACCTCCCTTAAGTTGCTGACAAACACATTACCAAAGTATTAAAATGTGACGTCAGGGTCGTAAGTCCAGCTGTGTATCAGCTCATCTTCATCAGTTATTGATTTGAGAGTTCCTCGACACATCGTACCTGCTCTGAGAGCAAATGTGGAACCCATAAAAGGGCTTTAAAGAGTCTCATCGGTTGTGTGGACGCTCAGCCTCTATCTCTGAACCAGTAAAAGTTAAGCCTGTGTTAAAGGGAATATGTGAGAATCGGAGAGACGGCAGGAACCTACTGATCTGTTTTCCTTCAACTTTTTAAAAAATGCGCACTTCAGACCAACATGTGGATTGAAAGAGTTGGTAAATAGCTCAAGGTCACGTGATGACCCCGCGGACCACAGATACCAAACACACGGGTTGCCTTTGATCGAATGCTTTTCCCTTTTCAAAGTACACCTTTGTATCCAACTTACTGTAAAAACGGTTATAAAATGTCTTCAGTATCTCTAAGAGCTGTATGAACATAGGAGAAGTTTATCAGAGTTATCTCGGCTTGTCGATTAGTCCAGAAGTGATGATAAGGCCGTATATCATTCACCATTTTGGTCATAAAGATACAGCGACCAGGAAACCTGAATCCTCTCGTTGAAACAGTGAAACGGCTGAACAATAAGAATAACTATTAGTGAAATGTAATAACAACAAGAGGGAATTCACGAGAGTAAAGACCAAAATGTCAACGAACTTGCACAGGTACTTTTATAAACATGTATAGTTACAGGAACAACCTACTAAAGATAAAGAAAAACTAAGTGCAAAGTGAAGGCTGATATGCTAATTCTTTATTGAATAGAAATCAAGAGAAACATGCTTTAAACTCCAAAAGGAGAACGAAATAACTAAAAGCAGTCGGAAAATTCAAATATATTACAGCCTAGATGAGTTATTGCTGGACAAAAGTGTTTCTTGTCTGTCATCTGTTCAGTTGCTGCCGCGTTGTGAGACTAAAGTGAGCCGGAGAGAAGAGACTGTAGAAGAAATGATGAGAACAAAGCCACAAACCCCTCAGGAAGCAGGGCTCAATCTACACGCACACACACACACACACACACACACACACACACACACACACACACACACAAACACACACTCCTTATCTGCTGTCAGCTGCAGACTGAACCAGGAAGATGGCACTAAATACTGCTGTTTTAAAATGTAGTGTAACATTGATTCCCCTGTGATGGAACACAGGGCCGACCCACGTGTGTGTGCGTGCGTGTGTGTGTGTATCTACATCTCAAAAAGACACTGAGCACTTGAATACCATAAACCAAAACAACTCTTGACACTGGAGGAAAGATTTCCTTGTAACATTTTTATCTCTGAGCCAGACGTGTATCTTCCTTCTTGGAAATGGCATCTGGAGGGAAAACAAGTGCCGTAAACGGCCTCCGCTTGGTGTCATCGAGAGCCGGACACTAATTCGCTGCGACTCGGCTTAAAACCCGGGGGAGATTTTGAAGGTGGCGGCATCGCGGTACGATATATTCAAACTCCTCACAAGGCCAAAAGCTGAAACTAAACAAGTTAGCAGCGTCGTTGTGTTCCTCCACAACCCGCCGTCGGGTCGCAGGGGAAGGAAAGAAGGCCGAGAGTGAAGCACTCAGTATAAAAACCAGCCAAAGCAGAACAACATTATTTACATGGAGAGGTTGGGCTCAAGTTCTTACGTTTCATCCACATAAACACAAATGCACTTAAGCCTTTTTTCTTTTTTGAGAAACGGATTCCAAAAGGAACACAAGTGGCGACAGGCGGACGGACACATCTGCACACATCTGCTCACACAAGACTTGTGGTTTCAGCCGTCGTTTAAACTTTTCTTTTAACTTAATGCCAGCAAGAGAAAAATGATCTTGGACTCTTTTTACCTACTTTTTCCCCCCATTGTTAGCGAATTCTTTTCATCACTTTAAGAACACGACAATCTGTGTTTGTGTAATCATTTAATCTCTTCCTTTCCGATGGCGCTGGTTGTATCAACACTCATAAGTACAAGACTTCTGCTATTGTCTGTTTGTTGCTGTTCATAGTGGCCAGATGTTTAAGAAATATATCTGACCTGTGAAGCGAACACATTGTTGGTTTGGGTCTTTTTGCACAGAGAAGAGACGCCAATTACTTCAAGGTACACAGAATAAAACCAGCGCTATGCTTTAGAGATTGTTGAGCGTCTGACAACGTAAATCCACTTTACATTTGTTGACTACAGAAGTGTGTATTTCCTGGTTTAGTGAGCAGCATCGTACCGTCGCTCAAAATGAAATAAAAAGTTTGACGCGAGCGAGAGAAACCACATTTGAACATTTCAGACAAAATAATGCTTCGTATGGTAAATGGGGGACTCCCCCCCCAAAAAACGTGCATTCAGTAGTTCTGATGATTATAAGGCATCGTTACACTTATCAAGATTCAAGGGCGTTAGTTGAGATTGTGCAAATGCATCACGGACTGAACAGAGAGGGAAACGAGGGATGAAGGAGAGCAGGAAGGAGATCGCCGACGGCTCCTTTGAGATCCTCCAGCATCCTCCTACAGGTAACGGAACGTTTTTTTAGGGATTCTTTTACTGTCTGATGCTTCTGATTGAATATGGCACCGTGTAATCCTACGGGGGACAAAAGGTGCTGTTTTCTTTGGCAGTCGGGGTTTCTTTAACGCCATAGGAACAGCAATAAATTGAACTGTATTTTTTTGTTGTATTTTCACATTTTTTAGGCGAGTCGCGGTCCCGGGCAGTTCGACAGTTTAGCTAATGCTGAGCTGAGCAAAGCCCATCAGTTTGACGTCATCTGGCACTTCAGATTCCTCCGTTCCAGAGGCCTGTGACATGAGGAGATGAGAGGAGGAAAAGAGTAGTGAGAGACAAAAAGCAGCGGAGGAGAAAACGCTTAAATGTTGAAAAAAAAAAAAAAGAAATCGGCTTTGCAAATATTTTATGTGAAAGGAAATCCAATCGACAGGTTTGAAAAACCTCAAAGAGACACAGAAGTGATGAGTAACAGACTGATAGATCAGGTAAAAGACAAAAGGTGCACTGCCTATTTAAAAAACTACGTCAATGACTAACAGAACACGACGGTTATGCACTCACCAGTTTGAAAGTGACATTTTTATTGGCTTGAGGTTCATCAACTATTTTCTGCAAATTTGCAGCAACTGAAAAAAGGAAACAATGTTTTAGGGAATCAGTTAGACGATGTGCTAAACACACAATATGAAGCACTTTTCTGCACAGGAGTTCTTCCTTCTTCTTAATTACTGACCTATTACTAAGTCCCTCCCGTCCACCAGGCCTGCGGACACCAGCTCCTGGGACACACCGTCTGCTGTGTCTGGAAAGTCATAGAAGCACAAGACCAAGTGAGACGGACGGACAGAGAGACGCATTTAAATAAAACACATGTAACTGTGGCTCAAACATTTCCACAGATAGCTGGTTTCTATTTAGTGGTTTTGGGAACAAAAAGGACTGACCCCCCCCCCCCCCCCCCCCCCCGCCACACGCACACACCCCCTGTCAAAAAAAGGCAGCTTGTTGATGAATACTGAAACCAGCTGGTTTTGGTGTGTCAGCTGTGTTGGAAAAGCCAACGCAGCAAAATAAGTTTGGCAAAACAACACGAAGTAGAAAGCAGCCAGTTTCACTGACTGATAAAGATGTGGCCACAAAGTCTTGACCTCAGGACATTTGAGTTTTTTACCTCCCAGCAACTAGAAGTTGGGTTTTGAATAATAAACTTAACTCGCCTCTCCCTGGCATGAATTCAAAGCGGATGTCATTCAGCTCCTTCTTTGAATTTCTGAGGAGATGAGAGACGGAGGAGAAGAGGAGTTATCTTTATAATGTGACGGTTGATAGAACTTATACGACTCAATACAGGAGAAGAAAACAAAGATACCGAACACGTAGAAACGATGTTCGTGTGTTAATGGGGGACATACCTTAACCGTAACACCAAACTAATGGGGGCATTGACGTCGCTGGAGGCAGCTTGCACCTGCAGAAATGCACATAATAAAAGCATATAATAAAAGCTTTAAAGAAACAAAATGAGTGCAATAGTTTTGCACTAGACCGACCTGTGAGAGAGCAGCGGTCGGTACAGCCGGAGCAGCGGGCTGAGTGCTGACCGGCGTGGGCTGCAGCGGGACCTGCAGCCCACGTTTAAACTCACCCGCCGCCGTCAGCTGGACCGGACTACCGAAGGGCTCGGGAGTCTGGAAGACCTGCGGCAGGAATGTCGGGCTTTAGCAAGTAAGCACAAACACGCCCAGTTTGGGGCTTTTTATTCCCAAAACCGAGGTGACTACAAATTCCTTATTTTTTATCTGAGCAGCGATTGCATTGAACACAAATTATTATCCCTTACGAGTCCCTTATACACTGATGGATGACGAAATAACCTTTGAAACTCACCTCGGAATTCTGCGACCCCTCCTTCACTCTTGGTGACTGTTGAAAGCAGAAAGAGAAGATGAGACCGAGAGAAGGACGCGCGCGGCGACGGCTTCAGGCGAAGCAGAAAAACAGCCGGCGTTGGTGCAGAGAAACACACAGAAAGCAAGACGGGGCAGACGGATCAAAAGGGCTCAACGCTCCTTCACTCTTCTCATTTATCGCTCCACTCAGTTTATCCTCTAAGGTGACGCCGTTGGAGAGGAAACCAGAGACACCAACAGCTATTAATACTTCCCCCACACTTGGCTATCTGGTGCTGCGATGGCGATATGATGTGTTTAGTGAGATGATGTCAACAGTAGGTTTTTCCACACAGTGTCAAGCGGGGTGGCAATCGTTCAATAATGGCTATTTAATAAAAAGGCCTGATTTATGAGACTGTTATATTGAAAGGAATTTTATACCGTGATCTTTTGCGTATTTTAACTCAATGTATGATCATTTACATGACATAAAATGTGTTTTACATACAGCCTGCCGGCACATAATTATTAGATGTGAAAAGCAGAGAAGCGGCAGAAGTGGACACAAAATAAGGAAAAAACATCACACTGTTATAAGGTCACACGGTTATAAGGTCACACGGTTTATTTGCAAAAAAAGGAAAAACGTTATAACCGACTCCTAATAGAACCAAGAGTCGGACGGAAGCCCCGCAGGCCCAAATGAAGGCAAACTGAGTCGACTGAGAGGACGTGATGTTGTATCCGGCTGATGCCAGAGATCACATGAGCTCAGGGGTCTCGCTGTCTGTATCCCGTCTCTAACAACGTGCATCTTTATGGGGGAAGAACCGTGACGGTTTCGCGTTGGGAGGAGAGAAAACAAAAAAAACAAAGCATGAGCATCACTTTGTTTTGAGATGACAGGTCCAGTACAGCTGATGTAAGAATTGATAGTTCAGTTTGCCAACAAGTAGCCAATGAAGAAGAATCAAGCACAATTTGTAATGCACCGATGATCATTAGAGTTCTAATTAAAAAATGATTGAATTTGCTTGGTATTAATTAAATGGTGATTTGGTCAGTATAAATAAAAAGGGATTTAGAAAGAGGAATAGAAATACAGATGGCTTCCAGGAAAGGTAACTCTCACTACTTCGGTTGAATTGTTAAAGTAAACCTTTAACTGTGGAAACAAAGTTCCTTTTTTCCAGTTTCCAGAGCAAAGGGTTCTGGTGTAACATGTCTAGTTATGTGGGCGCAAACTCTTTTGCTTCACATGAGGCACAGAACATCTGGCTGTTTCAAAGCAGGGGGGCTTACAGCGCCAACTAACCGCTCCCGACCGGGTTAACTCGGGGGATCAAAGTCGACTCGCGAGTGATCCGCAGGTTATCGCCTACTGCACAAAACGCCGCCAACTTTCCCTTTCAACAAACCAGTTGCGTGACATCAGCTCGTATCTCCTGCTGAGAGGTCACTCTGGAGCTACACGCCGCCGACATCTGCAAGATAAGAGCCGAGCGGCGTGCCGGTTTGGATCTTGGCTCATGAATAATGATGATGAAGAGGAACATAAGTATCTGAGTATCTGCACACCGCCCTCACTCTAACAACTATCTCCGGGGACAAAGTGTCCCCCGGTCTGCCGTGTGCACAGTGAGAGTCCTTCCTTGTTAGGGGAACGCCATCTGTATTGTGGTGGCAAGTGAACAACCCTGGACGCAGGCAGCTCGAGTGGGTAGGAGAAGCGCACTTGTCGCCTGGTGGCGTTAACAGGCTTCGCCTGCTGCTCCTCGGCCGTCGGAAAGAACACACACACACACACAGACAGAGACTCAGTGGAGAGACAAACAGGACAGACATGCTGCTGCACAGACCACCACAAGGACGATTTAAAACATTGCACGGGGATTTAAAGACATCTACAGTGAGAGGAATGTGTTAATGAGGGACCCGAAACCACCCGGCGGCTTCGTCTCACCCGCAAGGCGGCGACGGCCAGTTTGCCCTCTTCGCTCTCTTCGTCCAGCTCGTCGTCGCTCCACTCCCATTCGCCGTCCTCCGTTTTGTGGAGCCGACCGCTGGAGCCCGGCACTCGGCGCACCTGACAAAAAAAAAGAGAGACATGAGCTCACGTTGTTCTTGGGGCGACGGGGCCACGGAGTCAAACCTCTGCCGGCGTCTCACCCGTTTCGACCTCTCCGTTATCGTGGGCGCCCTCTGGAGCAGCTTCTCGTGTAAATACTCATGGTTCTGTCGGGAGGGGAAAGAAACAAGGGGCCGTTACTCCATGAGATCCAGATGTGATCACCCACAAATGTAACTGCTTCGGTACGCATTGAAAGGCCTTCTGGTTTATTTCAAAGCCTTCCACGACTCCATCACTCATCGTGCAGCAGTGAGCAGCTGACCCCCGTGCAGGTCCCCGTAACAAGGGCCCCTGGTTGCACAGTGCGAATGTTTTTAACCTCATCTCAAGGGACATCTACTCTAAGTAGCCTTTAGTTAGCGGTGCACTACCTTTAACCACTGCTGCTCATCTGGGATTTGGTTATTTATTCAAGTACCCGTTTGATTTAAGCGCTCTGTGAATGAACTTATATTCACTTATTTTCCAAATGGAAAAGTCAGAGGGATTTTCAAATATAATTCCATAGTGAATAGATAATCGATTACTTGATAACCGTTTGAATCCCTCCTGCAGGCCCAACGTCTACTAATCCATAACATGGTCGTATCGGAGCACTAGTTGGGCAGCCAGAGGCTGGACATCCCTGCTTTGATAGAAACGCTTCTTTAGGGTCAATAATGAGCGGAAAGGTCAAACACAAGGACGAGTTGAGAGCTTTAGTGGGTTTTTTCATCTCTTGATCCATGACTAATTCTTTTTTTTCTTACACGAAACCCTTCTACTGTCATTCCAAAAAAACCAAAAAAAGAAACAACTTGTCATTACGAGCAGCTTAATATCAAAGAGGAGTCGGCCAGCTCACGTCCCCACAACAAGCTCAGTCGGCATTGTGTGACTAATGGAGTCCTACCTTTGCTTTCTGGAAGAATTTATGCTTCAACAACTCGGAGGACGTCGGCCTGAAAAGCAGCAGAATGACAATGAACTCGCTTTCATACTGCCAAGAATAGAAAAAGAAAATGTACAACGTAAGTTCAGCAGAAGCAGGGAAGCTCAATGACACAAAGGGGGGGGGGCAGGGGTCCGAACAACCCATCTACTGGAGGTAAAAGCATCAGAGCTGACACCTTTTCTCCGGGTCCTTCTGCAGACACAAGGAAACCATCTTCCTGAAGGATTTGCCGTATTTCTTAACAACCTCCTTGTCCGTGATGCCGGTCTCCAGGCCCGGGGGGTCATTCTGCAGCGTCAGCATCAAGACCTGAAGAAAACAAAGACACAGTTTGGTCAAAGGTCACCGGAGCACCGAAGGTCGGCGTCTCGTCAGAGGATCAGTCGGACTGACTTTGCGTTTGTTCCGTGTCATTAACTCCACATTCTCTCACCTTCATCGGTGGGTATTTGTGATAAGGCGCGGCGCCCGTGGCGAACTCGATGGCCGTGATCCCGAAACTCCAGATATCTGCTTTGAAATCATAACCCCTCACCTGTGGAAGCAGAATCCCATCTTTGAACTGTATTGGCACGTCCGCCACAGAACATGCACTGTGCTCACGGGGGAAAGTGTTTCATTTTCAGCATTCATATTCACGAGCAACCTGCAAATATTGTCTTATTGTTTGGTTGCTCAATCGCAGACCTGCTCCATGACCTCTGGGGCCATCCAGCACGGCGTTCCGACAAAGGTTTTGCGCACTTTGTTTCGAGTCATGTCACCACCCGCGGCAAGGAAGGCGCTGACGCCGAAGTCTGAAGGGAGGGATGAGCGGAGATTCAATCAGTAGTTAATACACTGGTTCCTCGCAGCTGATCTGGGTCACGGGTGCAAAAAGGTGGAGCTGCCTTGTGACTAAATACCTGCAATTTGCACTGAACCGTCGTCCCCGAGGAGAATGTTTCCGGCTTTGAGATCTCTGCGGAAGACAAGAAGAAAAGAAAAGAATTTTTAACGATATCATGTGTAAAAACGCCTCTCTTAAGGAGCCGTCACACAAAAAGGGAAGCGGCTCCGGTGGATCAGACAGTGAACGTAGACGACGAAAGGTATTTAAAGTCACAGTGATGACACAAAGTTATTCATGTTTTATGTCAGCGTGTAGGGTATCTCCTTTACTTCTGATAACTTTTTAAAAAGCTGGACCATAGATGTCTAACAAATAGAATGCAAAAGCTTCACCAATCTGGGTTTTTATGTGGTATGATTTATTGGCAACACACACACACACACACACACACACAGTGTGCGTAGTTTATTTGTTCGTCCGGATTCAGCAGCTGTGTGTCGGCCGGTTTGCTCACACCGGATGAATCCTGCCACCTCGCTGGCCAGACAGTTGTCATAGCAACAGACTTTCGGAGATGAAGTCAAAGGGTCAAGTGAAAGGGGAGGAAATATTAAGTAAACGGATGGTAACAGTGTCACAGGGGACTCTGCTCTTTACTGCTGTCCACTCGCTCGAGGGGGGGTGGGGCGGGGGTGGACGTATTAAAAAGGGAATAATGGGAGAAAGACTTTGTCCTCCGTGACATCAACTGATTTGAAGACAGATGAAGCGGCATATGAAGCTGCAGTCCACGTTGCCGCCACATGGGGGCACCGAAGTAAAACACATTCAGCTTCAGCTCAACTGTTAAAGTGCAACAAATTGGTCACACTGAAAGAACAAGTCTAGTCGGTGCAATACTTGGTTCAGAGATATGGAACATGACTCAGCTCCCCTAAAAAAGAAAAGCCAAATACCAGATGCACACGGAGGAAATGAGAGATAACGGTGATGGTTGGAAAGATTCTTGTGCCACTGAAGCGTGCTTGAACTTAACTTAAAACGCCCTGGATTACTGTAGAAAACACATCACATGGCCTCCTGAACTCGTCTCGTTCTCGCCGTGTGGTTTGGCAGAACAAAATGTGCAGGACGTGGAGAGTTTGGCAGTTTGGCTCAAGCACTCCTCCCAGATTCTTCACAAGCAACCCACCAAAGACTCACAACGCGTGTGGGTCAGGCCTCTGTTCAGACGCTGCTCGGGACTTGGCGTGTCGACTAAAGGCCTCATGAGGTGCTGGCACACAGTGAGCCGTGGAGGTGGAGGTGGAGGTGGGGGGGGGGGGGCAGACTGCGGATGCTGCGCGGTGGAGTCGTCTGTATCGAAGCCCCGGGTGTCTTCCGTGTTCAGCTGGAGCAGAGAGAGACGCTCGGTTACGTAACGGATGGAGCGGGGACGCGACGGCCTTCCGCTCGCTGGCTTTCAAAGGCCGCCGTTAAAAGGAAGTGCCCCGGAAACAAAACCGGCCAGGTGGTATCAGGTCACAGCGTCGTCCCGTTTCTTAACACTCACTGCTAGTTCTTACAAAAATGACTGAGTCATTAGTTTGAGCAGGCGCCTTTTAAACAAATTGGAGGTGCAGAGTCGACCACCTGAGGCTGGAAGACAAACTTGGGACGACCCCAAAAATACTTTTCCTGGTTAACACAACCCCCCGCCCCCCCTCGACCCCCATACCCCTCTAAGTGGGTCCAGTCTTGTCTGAGCAAACAACGTGCTCTATTTTAATGAGTCGGTCCGGGCCGACTGACCACCGGACCATGACGCAATACCTGCTGACTCATCATCTCACTCGCTGCCTTTGTCCGCATTTAACACCAAACTGATTTTTGACAGTAAAAGTCTGATACCTGCCAAGATAAAAATGTTCTGTTACGTAATGTCGTGGCAATAAATCCGACAGCCGCTCACATAATTCACACAAAAAAGGGGCCGTCCCGCGGAGCATGAAGTGATCGAGGCCCACCTGCATCTTTTTAGGACCACCGAGCTTCGGTTCACTGCAGCAGGCTGTAATGCTCGGAGCGACAGAGGCTGCAGAGTGCAGACAGTCATTAACATTCACCGGAGGAGGAGGAGGAGGAGAGGAGCGGAGGTGACACAATGCACCATGCAAGTTCAAAGAAATACTGTCGCGGAGGGGGGAAAGATATAAAAATACACCCTGCAGTTAGAGAGCCAGCCTCTTCTTACAGCAGCCGGGGGCATTAAGCAGAACGAATAACTGACACTGTATGCTGATTCCTGCTTGTTAACTTACATAAAGGCATAATCCAGAATGAATCCGGACACTAGAGGTATTACGCCATTGCAGAATATTCAAAAAGTGAACGTGCTGGTACGCTAATATTCATGACGGGTGGGAGCCGCTCCGGCATGAAAGTGTCAAGAAGATGGACCGCTCTTATCTGGCAGCTGCAGCGGGTCACCTCCTGTGACATCACATCCTGGTGCCTCTGACGAGGCTGTAAGAGAGACGCTGTGGAGATGGAGACAACCCCGAACCCCCCGCCATTCCTGTGTCATCACGTGCGCGGCGTCCACCTGCTGCTCCACTTAGAGCCCCGGCGTCACCTTTGGGTGAATGTGGAGGTGGGGCAGTTCTCCGTCCCGTGGTAAATGTCTGGTGGAGGCTACAGCCCCGGGCCACGAGACTCTAATTGCTTTACTGCTGTCTTGGACGATCATGTGACACTTTTCCCTTTGGTGGGGAGGGAGGAGGAGGGGGGGACGACACACACACACACACACACCGATCCACATACTCCTTCTGCGCTCTCAGCATGCAAAGGATTTCCAGCGCCGGCATGTCGTCGCTCAGAGGGGCACAGCAGTGATGAATCACTGATCTATTCATTGGTTCCCTGATGTCCCCTGAGAGGCTACAGAGCGGAAGGAAGCTTTTACATGTCCGCCTCTGTGACAATGACCGATGACCCCCGTCCCGCTGCTGTGCTGAAAGTGGACACCCGCCTCCACCCATGGATTGTTTAGCATGCAGCCCGCCCTGATCATCTCCACATCCCACATGCAATGTGGATCGAGGTCCAAAGGCCATGCTGGTCTGAAAGTTGCTGAGCACTGTGCATTATTTACACATGTAGCCTGTCCCGCCATATGCGTGCCAATGGGAGAGAGAGGGGGGGGGGGGGGGGGCTATGAAAAAGTGAGTCATGAATATTAAATAAAGCCAGTGGTTGAGGGGTTCACGGTAACAGCTCGAGTGTGGGATGTTGGCCAAGTATTGAACAGGCTTTCTGTAGAGATTTAATTTCCTGTGGCACATAAATCTGCCCGTCACACGTTCCACATTCATACTTTATCCCTTAAACATTATAAATCGGACTGCGAGTTGTGGTCTGCTTACAGATGGCTTGCGGCAACTTTAAGCAGTTGATGTTCCACTAAACACACTGAAGGTTTGTAGTATTATTGCAGCTTCAATGTGAACACACCGAAGCTGGAAAGTGAGTTTTGACTTTTGTTTCATTCATAACCGCACTTTAGTGTTTAGCCACACAAGAAGAGAAGTCTACGGCCTCATCGCAGTGCAGAGCTGCTGACCTTATAAACGTGTTACAGTCGACAGAATACTCATCACTTCCATGTGTGCAGCTCCGCATTCAACCACGCTCAAAAAACATGAATTTACTTGTGCACGTTGAGATACTTTAATTACCTTTTCGACAGAGACGGAGGGTAATATGAAAGCAACAGACAGCAGATCATGATGAAGGGCACGAGAAGAACATTAATGAACCCGATGAGAGTTGGCATCGGCAGATCTATCTTTAGAAGTGAAGATGTCTCCATGTGTTGTAATTAAGATGAAATATCATCGCAGCCCCTGAACTGGAAGAACATGAATCACGGTAGTCTTAAGAAAATATTCCCCATTAAAAGGGAACAGAAAAATGGACATACATGCACTTAATGGTAATGCATATTAAAATAGTATACTGTATTACAGCAAATTGCTAAAAGCATCTTCATGAATGAACTAGTTATTCAAATTCAAGCTTGAACTTTTTTTAATGCAACAAATTGGTCAAAACCTGTATTCCACTATACTGGAATAAGAAAGCCAACCTATAACAGTTCGGCGCTGTTGTCATTCCAGCTATTTGATCCAGTATCGGACTGGTATTAGTTTCAGAAAAAGGGGAGGTCAGGGGGGGGGCAGTTCTATCACCACGAGCCGCGCTACCTGTGGATCTGCCCGTTCCTGTGCAGGTACTCCAGGCCCTCCAGCACGTCTTTCAGCACCGTGGCTATGCTGGCCTCGTCCAGGACGCCCTGCTTGTGTTCCCCCCGGGAGATGATGTGCTTGATCACGTCCAGCACAGAGCCTGGATGAACAAAAACACACAGGACAGACGTTCCTAAAGATCATTAGAAAAAGAGCGGATTACTGATGTGTTTGGATAAATTGGCTTGTGGAGACACAAAGAAGTTCAAGGAGGACGGATTTTATGGCAGAGTCCTCGAAACCACAAACATAACCGTGACCTTCTAATGTGGTCTTGGCAGAACAATAAATGGTGCAGCGAGCATTCTTCAAAGGCTACAGTGCAGTTCTATCCATCACTATTGTGTCTATAAATACTTAAATAACCGTCGCAGTGACTCGGCAGCAACACGACTTCACGACGTCCTTCATCGGGGGACATTTTTTAGCCTCGGTCCATTGACTGTAAATCAGATCGTCTGTTTGGGCGATGAAATACGCCCGACCGCTGCCGCGCCGTCGCTCTGCCTCAGCTCGTGTGCCTTTTAATGCCGTCAGGACGTCCGCGGCCCCGAGACGAGGCGGCGTTACCGCAGGGAGGCCTCGACGCAGAGGCAGAGCGGGAGCAGAGAGAGGGAGGGAGGGAGGGACGGGGGGGGGGAGACGGTGGGTTCAACGGGTTCTTCTTCGCGCAGCGACTGTGCACGTGAGAAGATGGGATTCAGCAGGCGGAGGAAAACAGAGCGATTCAAAGAGAGGACGAGGAGAGGAGGAGGAGGAACGGCGGGGAAAAGCAACCAGAGGTGTGTGTGCGTGCATGCGTGTGTGTTTGTGTGTGTGCACGTGATTGTGTACTAGTGTGCGTGAATTGGCAAGAAGCAAGAGGAGCGGAGAGGAGAGGAGAGGAGGGAAGAGGTCAGAGGATGAGAGAGTGAGAGGAGAGGCGAGGAGATGAGCGGCGAGGAGGGGTCGCGGGAGAGGGCGAGGAGAGGAGAGGAGAGGAGGGAGGGGGAGGGGTAAGAGGGAGGGGAGGAGAGAGAGAGGAGAGGAGGGGAGGGAGGCGGGGAGGGTGGGAGAAGGAGGTGAGTAGAGGAGAGGAGCTAGGAGGGGAGGAGAGGAGAGGAGAGGAGGGAGGGGAGAGGAGAGGAGAGGAGAGGAGAGGAGAGGAGAGGAGAGGAGAGGAGAGGAGAGGAGAGGAGAGGAGGGGAGGGGAGGGGAGGGGAGAGGAGAGGAGAGGAGAGGAGGGGAGAGGAGGGGAGGGGAGAGTGCAGCCTGGCGTCTCTGATGTGACGGCTCTTTGAAGCTCATTGAGAATAGGCGGCCCGGTTTCACAGAACCTTTTTTTTCCCCCCTTTTCTTCTTCCTCTGTTCTTTAAAACTCGGCACCCTCCCCCCCCACCCTCCTTCTCTCGATGCTTCCGCCCCTCAGTCCCACGCCGCCTCGTCTGAAATGGCGGGAGGGGAGGGGAGGAAGTGACAGGTGGCAATGGATCCCGGGGAAAGGCTGATCACACGGGGAGGTGACGAGGAAGCTGATGTGCAGGACGAATAGCTCGACACATGAGTTTGTCTTCCCGCCCAGAGTTCGATGAGAAGATCGGTAACGACGTCGGCGTGCAGAGTGGTATCGATCTCCTCATCCGCCACTCGGCAGGAAGGCCAACGTTGCCCAAACGTTTCCTTTAAGAGCAGGATGTCGACGCGGATAAAAGGAAGAGGGCAAATAGTGAACAGTTTATGGACCAAGGAGACCAGAGCTGGTGCCCAGTGTGCTAAAGGCAGACTGGGCATGCCAAGCGAAGTGGGACATGGGAGGGGGGGTGTGGAGGGTGGCACAAAAAAAAAGATGCCTGCATAGAATCCTTTATCCAAATGTTCATTGGGATGAAAAAAAAAAAGCCTGCAGACTCCAATGAAGCGCTTTGTCAGAGTGCCGTCAGATAGCAGAGCGCCACATGGGGGAGGAGGGGAGGGGGGGGGGGGGGGGGGCTTCCAGTGAAACAGTTGCTCGCATCACATCGAGAACAGGAATTTCCTCAAGAGCGCCTAGACTGCATACCACCACGACTGTCAGCTCCAAAGGTTTGGCCTTAAACTGTACAGGGGGGGGGTATGGGTGAGGGGGGGGGGGGGGTTCTCGACTGAAGATTATGCTCTTTTAGAGCTCTGCTCATTTGGAACGGCATGTGACAAAGTCTAACATAGCACACGGGACATACATACCCAGGATGTCCCTCCTACAGATTTGCAAAAATAGGTTCAATTGTCCAACAGCGTCAAAAAAGTTAAGTGCAGTTATTTCTCACGACGATGATACGAGGCTCATTACTGCGTGAGCGCCGCCACAGACACACAAGTGCACACAGTCCGAACCCGTTAAATTGGGAGGAAAAGACCACGATGACGTTCGCACGTGTTGATTTTCCAGAATAAAGTGACCGACGTGGCCTCATGCAGATCAAAAATAAGTTTGCTTCCTGAACGGGCCTCTAGAACCACATATCTGCTGTTCTAGCGCCATGCGGTCCAAAAGGTTCTCCACCTCTCCAGACGAGGGCGTCATCTTGCACAATGGAATCCAACATCAAGGGCCTCTGCTCAACTGGGAGGAGTGGGACCAGAGAGCCCCCCCCCCCCCGTCTGGAGCGGTGGCGGCTCCTGCTGTGAGGCTGGCAGCCTGCTCCAGCGTCGCTTGGCTGGCACAGTGGACCCAGCTGTGGGGGGGCGCCAGGGGGGCGGGGGGTATTCCGGGCCTGCCACCTGGCCTCTGTCCGTTAGAGTAGGACGCGGTTTACGCGGAGGAACGAGGGAGGGTAGAAACCGTTCGTTGCGTGAGACGAAAAGCAGAATTTAGGAGGGAATGTTGGACTCTTTATGAACAGAAAAAAACACTATCAGCCCGTTGCTCTTGAAATGAAAGGACGCCCTAATTAACCCGCACGCCGTTTGTGTCTGGAAGCACAAATATTCCAGTGAACAGAACAACCAGCAGCAGATGCAGATTGCTGCGTCTTTCGGGTCTTGTTGTCACGCGGTGGCGCTCGTCTTTGGGCCCCTCTGACTGGTTAAATAGCAGCGCTGCCACCCGAGTGACACCACGCCGGCTGTTATTACCTCTGCCCCGTCATTAGCTCAAGGCTCCCACCCGCCGGAGAACAGCGCCGTCACGCTCCCCACAATCACCATTAACACGGAGGCCCCGCTCCTCCCCCTCCGACGCCTGCCTCATCGTAAGGGGCACCTCAAGAAGGAATTACCCTGGACCCCCCCCCCCCCCCCTTGCCAAACTCAAGCCTACTCCACACAGCCGCGATACAATACGGCGCCGAGGGGCGGGCAACAAGTGGAAGGTGGTTTATGGAGATGTACACGCACTTACCACCGCTGAGCAGCTTCATGACCAGCCACAGCTCGTCCTTCACCACGAACGAGGTGTAGTAAGACACGATGTTGGGGTGGTGGCACTGGCTCATGGCTTGAATCTCTTTCTGTGAGGAGTAGAAGAGTTCAATTTAGAAACAATTCCGCTATTCAGAAACGTAGACCCCTCGTGAGAGAGCTCTAAAGACGATGTAATGAGGATTTAACGACGATCCACTTTCCACTGACCCCAAAAAACGTTGTAATAATGCGACTTTACATCACAGCCGCTCTTTAATAACCAGCGTTTATTATCAGGTTCTAAGTCTCAATCAGCTGCTGTGGTTGTGAAATGACCCACGAGACACAGATTTACTCGCCCTTATGTTTTTTTTTTTTTTATCCAAGACAGATGGCAAGTATTCTCATTTGGTAGAAGAAAAAAGAAAACGGCATTAGAAAAGCCCGGAGGAAATAAAGTGAACACAGTCTCAATAAAAGCCCTTTAATGCCGCCGCTGTTCTTGAAAATGAGCGGCACGCTTTGGCTGGTAATGACGTCAGCAGCCAGAAGGGTTCGTCAATGCGACGCGCGTCTGTGCGGCAGTGAGAAGACAGCCGGTACTCAGCCCTCTGCACAGCTGTACGCTCTGTGTGTGAGAGAGTGTGCCGGTTCGGAAGGCGAGGGAGGTGAGGTAATGACGGCGTGGAAGTCTAATCCGTCACTCCAGCAACAGCCCTCGAGTCGTTTTGGGGCTGGCGGGCTTTCTGAGAAAAAAGAGCCTCGGCTGACTTTAAAGGGTTTTGGGAGCACAGGTTTGCTTCTCTTCTCTGTGGAACCCGTGACGGGTGCACTTGTTCAGATGCGAAACGCCAAACGGAAATTAGAAACACTAAAAGGTGGTAAAAAGCAGTCGTGAACTGAAAGAACGTGCATAATACGACATAATATTATTTAATACTATTAATGATGTGTCAAACTAATGTAGCAGCCACAAAAACTAACTAATTAAACTCAAAGTCCCAATTATTTTAGAACCCCCAAAAAAAACCTATTAGTAAATTCAATTTTGCTTTGGACTTTTTGTCTGCAATGTATCATTTAATAGTTATTATTGGCAGATTAATACACATTTAGATGAAAGGATTGGAGTTGGAGCCCTACAGACAGGACAATCAAGACATAGACAATCACCCTCGGGCGACATTAGAACGCTATAATGCAGAATGTGTTTTACAATATTTATAAGTAGAACAAATGTCAATTATTTGACATCAAACTGCCTACATGTATTTAGCACAGAGAAGTCCAGGTGGGGTTTATATATTCCAATATTATAATCCATCCGCCTGTGTACCAGATCTGCAGTATCTCTTCATTTAATGCACTGAGGTGAAATCAATGCGGACCTTCCCGTGTAATTATTGGATCAACCACAGACGACCACATTCGAAACAGCTATTGAGCGTCGTGTGCCACAAGCCGGTGAAAACGAATCAATAGATGCCTGTGGCTCAGCGCCTGATGTGTCGTCAGCATAAATGCTGATCTTACAGGCTGTGCATTAGCAGCAGGGGGTGGGGGGAGGGGGGGGGGGGGGCGTCACACGGAGCCCGTGGCCTTCAACGAGAGCCTTCGCCAAGAGAGCTGGGGCAGACGGTGCCATAGCGATGCCAAAAGGAAAATAAAATAATCTGGGTCTAAAAATGGGGGGGGGGGGGTTGTC